TAATTCTAGGCTGAGTGAGGTGGCTCACATCTGTCATCCCAGCACTTTGGGAGGCTGACGCTGGAGGATTGCTTGAGGCCAGGAGTTCAAGACCAACTTGGGCAACATAGCAAGACTCTGTCTCCACAAAAAACAGAAAAATTAGCTGGGTGTGGTGGCACAAACCTGTAGTCCCAGGAGGCAGAGGCAGGAGGATGGCTTGAGTCCAGGAGTTCGGGGCTGCAGTGAGCTATGATGATGCCACTGCACTCCAGCCCGGGCAACAGAGCAAGACCCTATCAAAAAAAAAAAAAAAATTCGAATGCCCACATAATCAACCTCCTAATTAAGAAAGGGCGCATTGCCAGAACTGTGTGTTCTTCTGTATTCATACTCACCTCTCTTCCCAAGAAGAAATCACCGTTCTGATCTCTGCGATAATCATCTCCTTGTTTTCTCTTTTGTTTCAGCATCTACACATGCATCCCTGTGCAACATAGTGTTTAGCTTTGCCTGTGAACTGTATGTAAGTGGCACCATATAGTTCGTATTCTTATTTCCTTTGTTCGATGGTATTTCAAGAGATTCTTTCAAGTTGATGTGTATCACTGGAATTCATTCAGTTTCAATTCTGGATAAGAATCCTGTGTGTGAATATTCCAGGCTTTACTTGCTCAGCCTACTGGGTTTGGGGGTTATTTCCAGCTTCAGGTTTTTACAAATATTGTTGCTATGCACATTTAAAGACATATATTTTATTGCACACTTGCAAGACTTGTCTAAGCTATGTCCCAAGGGACACATTGCAGGGTCACAGATTATGCAGGTGTAAATTTACTCAGTAGGGCCAAACGGATTTCCAAAATAGTTGAATCCACTCTTACTGTCACCAGCAGCATATGAGAGTTCATATTGAACCACATTCCTGCCAGCGCTTGCAAGAATTTCCTTTATCAGACTTTGAAACTCTTACTAATCAGGTGGGGGTGAAGTTGTATCTTGTTGTGGGGTTTTTTTTTTTTTTTTAGACAAAGTCTCACTTTGTTGCCTGGGCTAGAGTGCCGTGGCATCAGCCTATTTCACAGCAACGTCAAACTCCTGGGCTCAAGCGATCCTACTGCCTCAGCCTCCCGAGTAGCTGGGACTACAGGCATGTGCCACCATGCCCGGCTAATTTTTTCTATATATTTTTAGCTGTCCAATTAATTTCTTTCTATTTTTGGTAGAGACGGGGTCTCGCTCTTGCTCAGGCTGGTCTCGAACTCCTGAGCTCAAACAATCCGCCCGCCTCGGCCTCCCAGAGTGCTAGGATTACAGGCGTGAGCCACTGCGCCCAGCCTGTCGTGGGTTTTTATTTGCATTACTCATGAGGTTGAGCAACTTATCCATGTTTTTTTTTTTTTTGTCACATATGGTTCCTCTCTCTGCAGGGCCTGTCCAAGGCTTTGCCACCCTTCTGTGTCCCTGCATTTTGTTACAACTGATGGTCCATCTTCCTAATTAACGCACAGGACTCTTTCCATCTTCTCCTTTGTCAAATTATGAGTGTTTTAAATATTTATTTTCCTTTTCTGTTCACTCTCTATACAGTCTTTTGATAAGGAAAGCTCGTAGCTTAAATGTAGTTGAAGTTATCAAACGTTTCCTATATGACTTATGCTCCGTTGAACATAAACAGATATTCCTCCATCTATTGAGATGATCATATGTCTTTCTCCTTTCATTTTCAATCTGGTGAATCATAGTGACTGATTTTCAAATGTTAAACCAACCTTGCATTTCTAGACTAGACGCTATTTTATCACAACGGATCATCATTTTTATATACTGCTCAATTTAGTTTGCTAATGTTTTGTTTAGGATTTTGGTACCTATATTTATAAGTGACATTGGCCTGTAATTGTACTGTACTCATCGTAAAAAGAATTGAGAAGTATTCCCTCTTTTTCTATTAAGTGGTGTAGGACTGGAATTATTTCCTCTTTGAATAACTTATAGGCGAAGCCTTCTGGGTCTGAGTTTTCTTTGCAGGAACATCACTGATGCCCATTCAGTCCCTTTAGTGATGGGGAGGTCGGATGTTCAGCTGGTGCCAAAGGACTTCAGGTTGCAAAAGTACCAAAATAGTTTCATACCAGTTGGTACATGGCCACCACTGCCAGCCTCTAGGTGTAATGACTCCCTCCAGGGCTGCCCCAGATCCCCCGAACCTTCTTATGACACATAAATCACAGAATTAGTGCCTGGACAGTCAGTGCCTCCTGGACCCTGCTCAGGGCTAAGGCCAGAAAGTGTTTTGAATGGTCAGTGACCGGTTATGCAACACTCTGGTACTATGAGCAGGATGGTCATAGAAAACGCAAGTTTTCTCTTTATCTTGAGTCCATTTTGGTAATTTACAGTTTTCTAGGAATTTGCCCATTTCATTAAAATCTTCACGCTAGTGTAATAAAGTTATTCATAATATCATTATTTCAGGCTTTTGAAAATTCTTGAGATTAACTTTTTGTAATTGTTCTATATATCTCGAAAAGGAAAGTATTTTACCATGGAAGACACAGTGTTCTACAACATCCAACAAGTTTATTAAACATGTTCAAATCCCCTATATCCTTAGTGAATATTTTTCTGCTTGTCCTTCCAATTACAGAGGGATGTGTGTTAAAATCTCCCACTGTAATTGTTGATTTGTCTATTTTTCAGTGTAATTCTTACATTTTAAGGCTATGGTTTTTTCATACAAATTTGAAATGGTTCAATTTTTCTGAAAAATTGGATTTTTTTCATTATGAATTGACCTTATTTATCTCTAGTGATTTGCCCCCAATATTAAAATAGCTCCGCCAGTCTTTTTTTGCTAGCATTTGCATGAGATTTCCCCACGTGTTTACTTCTGACCTTTCCTTATGCTTATGTGTTGGACCTGTCTCTTGCAACTGTCCCTTGTAAACTGCATCTAGCAATTTTTGCAGTCTGATAATCTTTGTTATTATAATTACAACATTTAGTCCACTTGCATTTATTGAATTATAGAACATCTGAATTTATATCTATCATCTAGTTGCCCTCTAACAATTTGGATAAATATACACTGTATTTCCATTCTTACAGTATTTATCCCAGTAATAGCAACTTGTATTCTTTTTTGTTTGTTTGTTTGTTTGTTTAGAGACAAGGTCTCGCTCTCGCTCTGCTGCCCAGGCTGGAGTGCACTGGCATGATCGTAGCTCACTGTAACCTCAAATTCCAGTGATCCTCCTGCCTCAGCCTCCCAAGTAGCTAGAACTACAGGCATGGGCTACCATGCCTAGCTGATTTTTAAATTTTTTCGTAGAGATGTGGACTGGCTGTGTTGCCCAGGCTTGTCTTGAACTCCTGGCCTCAAGTGATCCTCCTGTCTCAGCCTCCCGAAGTGCTGGAATTATTAATTCACGCATGAGCCACCACACCTGGCCAACAACTTGGATTCTTACCTCATCAAAGTCTAAGTGTATTTGATATCTACCTCCACCTTCCTCCTGATGAATACAAGGATCTTAAAAACTTAACTCCATCACCCAAGTGACATGCCATTGTCATTGTGTATTTTAGTTCTATTTTTATCCAGAAGACATTGTTATTGTTTTACATTATCAATGTTTTTCATTCATTGTTCTTTATTCCCTATTACATGAGACCTCTGGGATTAGCTTCTTCCTGCCTGAAGTTCCTCCTTTGCAATTTCCCTTATGGAGAGTCTGCTAGTGGCAAACTCTTAAGTTTTTGTATTTGTGAATGCCATTATTTCACACTCATTCTGGAAACATAATATGTACCTTCTACTAGGTACATACTTCTTGAAAGATATTTTCACTGGATTATATGATTCTAGGATGATAGTTTTCTGTCTGGTTTCTGTTGCTTTTGATAAAAAGGTGTGAATCTCCTGTTTTTCTGTGTGCCAGACAAACGCGTTTGGATTTTATTCTCAGGGGAACAGGGAGCTCCGTAAAGTTTTTAAGCACAGGGTGGGCAAAGATCAGACGGGATGGCGGCTCCGAGAGCAGGTCGTTGCTGTCCAGAGAAAAGATGAGGCATGAGCCAGGGCCCGGGGGGGGGGTTGTGGTGAGGGAAGGGCAGCCTGGGTCACTGAGAGGAGGTCAGGGAGCCAGGACTCAGATCGCCGGAGGCAGCGGGAAGGAGCTAGAAAGCTCGGTCCAACGGGAGGGTGAAGAGGGGGCCGGGCGCGGTGGGGGATAACGACTTGTCTCGGACCTCAAGATCCATGCATTCCACAAATGGTGAGCACCTACTCCGTCCCGAGTGCCAGGCGCGCGCGGGGGACGGGGAGGGCCGGGCAGAGGAGCAGCAGAACCCGCCCCGCGGGCACCTTATCCCGCAGCGGCCGCGCCCGCGCCTGGCCCGAGCGTCTCTCGGCCGTCGAGGTCCGACGGAGGGACGCAGAGGCGCCTGCTCGGCACACACCAAACCACGCCGCTCCGGAGGGCAGGGTGGGAAACCTTTTCGGTCCTGACCCCAACAGCCCGAGGGTCCGCGGCCCGGACGGCGTGGTGGAAGGCGCAGCAAATGACCTGCGCTTCCTCATCTGCCCTGCTTGGGACCTGCCGTTGCGGACCCTCAAAGCCACCGGAAGATTATAGGAATCGCGTCTCGGTATCGCAGATCATGTCCGGCCCCGGCACCCAGCGGCGAGAGGGGGCGCGCGGGCGTCCGCCAGGTGCAGACCTGCGCTCGCCAAACACGCGGCGTCGCCCGGCAGCCCACGGCACCCGGCGGGCGGGGCGGGGCCTCGGAGGGGCGGGGCCCCGGGTGAGGGGGCGGAGCTAACCGCAGGGCGCGAGCTCAGCCCCGCGGCCGGCCGGCCGCGCGCTCCCGCCCCGCCCCCTCCCCGCGCGCGCGCGCGCTCGCTGGCGAGGAGGAAAACGTTGCGCAGGTTCAAAAATGGGACGTCGGCGGCGTGAGGCAGCGCGAGGGGGTGTGCGCGCGTGCGCGTGCGCGTGCGCGCCGGGCCGAGGGTGACTGGGACCCCGCCGGCCCCAGCATCGCGCGCCTCAGCCGCGGCCCCGCAGCTCCGCCCCCGGCCCGGCCAGGCCCGGCCCTGGGCCCGCTCGCCCGCTGCCCCGCATGGAGCTGTCAGCCATCGGCGAGCAGGTGTTCGCCGTGGAGAGCATCCGGAAGAAGCGCGTGCGGAAGGTGAGGCTGCCCGGGGGCGGCTCCCGGGACCCCAGCGAGGTCCCCTCTCGTCCCCAGCACAGCCCCTTCCGCGCTGGGGGCGAGGGGGAAAGTGGGGCGAGGGACCCAGGCAGCCCTGCGCTGCAGGGCCGGTCTCCCCAGCTCGTGCCTCAGTTTCCCTGCCGCCGTGGGGCAAGTAGAATAAAAGTTGTCGCCCCGGGATGTTGGGGACACCTGAGCCCGCTTGAGCTGGAAATTAGGAGCGGAATGTAGGCACCCTGAGCGCCATCATCCCTGGTCCCTCTTTCATTCTAAATATGGGGAGACTGAGGCCCAAGTTGAAGCCACTTGCCCAGTGTGTTTAGTGTCAGAGCTGGGTCTTGAACTCGGGACTCTGGACTCTTAGCACCAAGTCCTTTGAAGTTGGAGGCAGAGCTTTGGAAAAGTCTCCTCTTGCCTCTGAAGTTTTCCTGCTGGACTTTGACCTTTTGTGATCCCTACCCCTTACCCCTTACACAACCCCCCTCCACAGCCCTCTTCCCCGCCGCGCCCCCCCCTGCTGTGGGGCATCCTCGAAGCTCCTCCCCCTCTGTCTTTGCCTTCACTTACAGCCTGCAATTTAAGGAGACATTTGTTATGCTGGGTTCAGGACCCAGCACCTCAGAGCTGGACTTCGGTTGGCCCAGACTGATGTCTACACTTCCTGTGCACAAGTTTGCCTAGTGGGCTCACCCAAGACTGGAGGTTGGGCTTGGGGAAGTCCTGGAGGAAAAGTTCCTCTCCTGGCACACATCACTGTCCTTTTCCCTTGTCTTCTTTCTATGGCCCCTTGGGAAGCTCCAGGGGGCAAGATGGGAGGGGCCTGAGTGTCACCTCATCCCATTTGACAGAGGCAGAAACTGAGGCCAGGCAGGGGAAGTGGCCTACTCAAGGTCACGCAGCAAGTTAGAGGTAGAGGTGGAGCAGGAGCTCAGGTGGGCTGGTCGCCAGCCCATCTTCTTACACGGAGAAGACTCAGTCCTGGAGTCTTGTGCCAGGGATGAAGGGCAAGGTGGGTCCTGAGCATCTTTTCTTCCCCTCAATTCCACTTGGGGTTTAGCTCTGTCTTAGGGCTGGGGCTGCCCTCCTCCTCCTCCCTTCCCCAGGGTTTCCTCGTCTTAAAAGAGGACTAATGTATGCCACGAAGCTCAGTGCTTTCCAACTAGCGTAGCCTGCAGCAGGCACAGCGATGAACCGCCACCCGCAGCGGAGATGTGCGATGGAGGATCATCATTCCTTCAGCCAGTCACGCAAGACATTTATTGAGGACCTGTCGTGTACTAGGCACCATTCTGAGCCCCAAGGATATATCCCTCAGAGAGCTGGCATTCTGCAGAGATGCACAGTGAATGAGGAAATACAGACAGATGCCTGTGTGCTCTGCAGAAATAGAACTGTAAGGTGCCAGGGAGGGACAGCGTCAGAAAAAGTAGCCAGAGAAGGCCTCTGGAGAGGTGCCTTATTTTGGTCTTAGCGTTCTGGTGTGGAGGGGCTTCACGCACTGAATGGAGGTGGACCTTAAACTTTTAAAGGCCCCCTGCTGGCTGTGAGCAAGGGAGGAGCCTGGCTCTGTTTCCTAACAACCACAGGGCTGACCACGCTTTCTGTAGGTGGAGACTTTGTCAGTCTTCTGTGGGGTCCTGCCAGGGTCTTTTGAGTTGAGAGTTCTAAAGTCACTGGCCTGTTGCCTCTGGGCCAGGGGCAGCCTCTCCAGAGACCCAGCTCACAGGGAGGAGAATCCAGAACACCCCAGAGAGGAATTTTCTAGGATTTGGGGAGTTTTCCAATCTAAAAAGGAAGAGTTATGATCTTGGCACTGGGACTCTGCAGATCTTTGGCCACACATGCATGCCCCCATGTGGTCTCAGTGTCCCCATGTGTGACAGAAGCTCCCAGCTTGGGCCACAGGAACCTCAGGGCTGTTTGGCGCCAGGTGCTCTCCTGGGTGCTAGTAGGGAGGGCAGACTGGAGTGGTCTTGCAGCAGCCAAAGTTTGGGTTCTCTGGGTTTGTGAGGATCTGGTGGGGGTCCCTGGGTTGTGTTTGTGTGCTGGGGAACACCTGTCTGCAGAGGGGATTTGGGGCTGAGGTCCTTTGGGCGTGCTGTCCCGCCAGCGGCTATAGGGACAACTGTGGGTCTCACTGTGTCTGCTTCTCTCTCTCCGCAGGGTAAAGTCGAATATCTGGTGAAGTGGAAAGGATGGCCCCCAAAGTAAGGCTCCTTTGTGTCTGTCTGTCTACCTGTACATCCATGCACGTGCCTTTTGCCCCCTCCCCTGGCTAGCTTTTAGCTCCAGCTGCTCTTGTAACTGGGCAGATGACCTTGATTAGATCATCCTCTTCTCTGGGCCACAGTTTCTCCTCTGTTAGCTGAGGGGCTTGCAGCACAGGAGGCTCAAGGTGGGTCTCCAGTTTCTCTTCTCACTCTGCCCCCTCAGTGTTGGGACTCACCTTCTGGTTGCAGCCTCCCCTCTCCTTCCTTCTCTCCCTCCCTCTACTTTTCCTGGCAACTGGGAGGTGAAGGCCCAGCATCTCAGCACCAGAGATGGCCCCTGGCCAGAAGGAGGGGCCTGACCGCAGCAAGTACAGTGCTGGGTGTGCGAGAGGGGAGTCCAGCAGTGGAGCAGGAATCCTCAGTGCCAGGTAGTTAGGAGCAGAGTCTGAGTCCATCTTGCCCGTAGACGGCACTTTCCAGTCTACAGAGCAGGTTCCCATACAGCCTTGTGAGGGAGGTGTGATCCTGCTCTCTCAAGATGATGAGGAAATAGGCTCAGAGAGGGTAAGCAGCTTGCCTTAGGTCACACAGCAAGTAGAGGCAGAGTTGGGACTTGAACTAGGCCTTTCTATCTTCAGGTACCTCCTCTGTGCCTCCCAACCTCCCATCTCAGAGTTGGGGGCAGGGAGGTCAGACCTTTCCTGCTGAGACCCAATCCGGAACCGGAACCGGTCACCAACTAATCACCTCCCCGCAGGGAGTTGTTGGGAGGGGGAGGGAATGAGCTAGTCTTGGGGCCTCCTCATTGGCCTGTGGGTGCCCCACCCCCTGCCCTGCCTCCTGGAGACTGGCTCCTGGAAACCCCCTGTGCCCAGAGCCTCTGCCATCAGGGGCAGGGGCTTTTTGCTGTGTTGGTGTTGGGGGCTGACCTGGTATTGGGTCCTGCGGGCATTCTGGGGGGATGGTAGGAGACACTGCAGAGAGGAAGTCAGCCCATAGTGCCTCAGCTTCCCTCTATGCAAAATGAGTTCAGGCCCTGCTCTCCTCTCACAGGCTACTTGGCTTTGTAGGGTAAAAGGCCCGGGCACGTGTTCAGGGTGACCCACAGGCATCCTGATGACTGGGGTCAGTGGCTGGCATGTAGATAATATGGTCCTCCACCCTCACTCCCACCGCCACCCCTGTTCTCCCTCCCCAGATACCCTTGGGGGCTGAAGGAGGATCCCCTCCTCCACTGGGCTAATCAGAGGTGGTATTCTGGCTTGGGTGAAGGGGGCAGTAAAGGGAGGTGCCCAGAGTGGCAGCAGGAGCACCAAGTCCCTGGGCATGTCCTGTTAGCTCCTGTGCCAGGAAAGCAGCACGTGCGAGCTGTGGTCACCAGCTTGTTGGCCTTCAAGGCACTGCTGGCTGTTTTTCCTCCTCTGGAGACTCCATCCTTTGGGGGATTTCCTTCCCTAATCAGAGCCCCTTATTAATGAAGAGCTCCTAGATGCAAACACATCTGCCGATCAGAGCTTCAATCAGGAGGGAAGGAACTAGGGCTCCAAGAGCAGAGTCCCTTGATGTTTCTGGTGGCCTGTGCCCCTGGCCCAGGGGCCCATTGGTTTCTTAACATGCTGAGACCACCAGATGGGCCCTCAGGACTGCCTTTTGTGACCCCTTAGGGTTCTGGAAACCCTGTTTGACCATATGACCTGGGGATACCTTCTGTCCCACCCGCCTTCCATCCTCAGTTCCAGGCCTGGCAGCTCACCCAACAGCTGTGAGCCCTAGGGTTTTCCCCAGCCAGGAAAGGGACCTAGGGTCCCTTTCATCACATAAGTTCAAAGAATCCTTAGAAATTATTTAGATCAGTCCTCTCGTTTTTCAGATGGGGAAACTGAGGCCCAGAGAGGGGTGGTCATTACCAGAATATAACTGACAACCCCATGCAGTGTGGTGCCCACTTCATGCCATCCAAGGTGCCACCGTGGTATGGGCGTGAGGCAGGCATGGCTGCCAGCCATCCCCTCCTTACTTGGGGGAAAACAGAGGTTCGGTCCCAGGAGAAGCAAGGGAGCCAGCTGTCTTTAGTCCCCCTCCTCAGGAGCCTTGCTTGGAGAAGAGGCTGAGACAGAAGGCAGGAGTAGGCAGGAGTAGCAGGCTGCATCCTCCAGGCCTGGGAGCCTTGGCTGAGCAGTGCCAGCCTGGCCTGGGGGAAGTCGTTCTGCTCAGCAGCCACCCTCCTCACCTCTGGGCAGGGGGACTTATATCAGTAACAATAACAGTAACCATTATTTAAATGAACACTCACCTGTGCCGGGCCCCTGTTAAGCCATTATATGCCTTGCCTATTTTCTCTCCCCAGCAGGCAAATGGCTGCCCTTCCTCCCCAGCACACGTGGCAGAGGGCTCTCTTGCTTCTTCTGGAAGGCACAGCACATGGCACAGGGAGGGGCAGGGGATGTTAGATTGTCACCTACAGGTGCTCCCTGCACCTCAGAGACCCTCCAGATACCCACTCTCATTTCAGCCTGCCCAGGACCTGCTGTTCCCTCTTTGGGAATACCTTCCTTTCTTCCCCACTAGTGAATGCGACCCCCTGTTCTAGGAAGGCCTGGCTCCATGGGTCTTTAGTAATGATATCAGTGGCACAGCAACAACGAGGCTGCCAATCAATAAGCCCCCATTATGAGCCAGACATTGGCCCATTTAATTGCCTCTTAGCGCCCATTTTACAGAGCGAGACACTGAAGCTCACAGCAGAGAAGGAGTCCTTGCCTAGGGTCAGACAGCTGGGAAGATTTGAACTACCTGAGCTCAGGCTTGTGGGCCTACCCCTGTGATACACAGCCAGGTCCACCAAGGTGATCGGCGTCTCTTGTCTGTTGGCCTTTGGCCAGTTCAATGGGAATTGCTCAGGCTTTGGAACCAGACCATCCTGCCTTTGAATCCTGGTTGTGTGGGTTTACCAACTGTGTGACCCAGGGCAAAGCCTTCAACCTCTCTGTACCTCCATTTCCCCATCTGTAAAATGAGGCCCTGGCCCCACAGGGCCCTGTCGGAGACCACCTGAGACAGGATAAGATTCATTAATACCCTGCCAGGGCAGAGAAGGACCTTATTCCTCCTCTGAGGCTGGGGTTGGGAGTGGCACACTTTTGCACACTCCAAGCTTTTGCAATTGGTTTAATTCACGCTTATTTGCTTTTGTTATGTACCACATTGGTGGAAGTGCTTCACTTTACGTATCTCCTCCTCACAACGACCTTGAGCAACAGGGATGGTTGGTAGCCCCCGCTTTAGGATGAGGCCGCAGTGAGTCACTTGAGCAAGGCCGCACCCCACCGTCTGGACCTGAGCCCGATTCGGTGCTTCTCGTTTGAGAACTTTAAATTACAGGAATGAGGGAGGGGCCCTGCGGGTCCGTGGGCGGTTCCACTGGCCCCAGCTCCGCAGCGCGCCCCGCCAGGCCGGCT